AGTAGCAGCAGCAGCAGTAGTAGTAGCAGCAGCAGTAGTAGTAGTAGTAGCATCAGCAGTAGCAGCAGCAGTAGCAGCAGCAGTAGCAGTAGCAGCAGCAGCAGCAGTAGTAGTAGCAGCAGCAGTAGCAGCAGTAGCAGCAGTAGCAGCAGTAGCAGCAGCAGCAGCAGCAGCAGCAGCAGCAGCAGCAGTAGTAGTAGTACCTCTCTCGCATACATTTTATTTATTTGATTCGTTTTGTTCATTTATTGATAACGGAGGCACGCAATTTACACATCGGCAATTTTTCGATCGTGGGTTGTGTGGTAGGGAAGAGGAATGTATGTGCGTGCGTGCATGTCTGTGCGTGTGCGTGCGTGCGTGCGTGCGTGCGTGTGCGTTCGATATATCAACATAGATCAGTGCACGATGTAGATATAGAGTTGGCTGTTACTTTACGATAGCAGATCAGTAGGGCCTAATAAGTGTTTTCGCGGTGGTGATCACGAGGGTATTAACTGCCAAAAGCAGCGTACACGTACACGCACACTCGTCGCCGATAGACGCTCCCGTTGCTATGACGCACGCAGTGCGACGTCACGTCACGAGAGTCCCTAACCCAATAAACAAGATGACCGACCATGTTTACGGTTAAATGTTCACTTTGATTCTTAACGTTTACTCCTATTAATGAAAGTGTCAATGACACTGCTAGCTCAACACAAAAAAGACACAACAATGGTGTGAGAAGAAGTCCCCCATCGACACAAACCGAATCGACCACGGACCGATCACCCGAATCACCACACGACCGATCGAAAGAACCAATCGACGTACATTATTGAAACGAGAGTTGATATGGAGAACTCCCGTATTATATCTGCTTGCATAATTAGTGTAATTAATTTTATGTGAAAATAATAAATAATATCTATATACAAATTTATAAAAATAATTTATAAAACAAAATGACATCACAATTTGTGCGGTAATGCGCTATACCCGCTTTGATGTTTCTTAAGCCAATAGTCAATTATATCATAATAATAAAATATAATAATAATGATGCTAAATCATAATATGTCATAGCAGGAATTTTGCATTAAAGATCTATGGTCAATGAAATCTTGTAAAAACGACCAGCGAGCTGTGACACCACAGACGTTTCCGTCTTTCTCTCTGTTGATCTTATCTGCGTGGTCTATATATAAATCGCTATATAACTTGCCAAAACCTTCCGTAATTAGGCCATTAATTTTTTTTAAATATCGAAACCTAGCCCTGTATTCATCAATACAAAACATGAGCATAAATCCGTTGAACCTGGAACTGACTACTGCGCAATTCCCATTTTGCAAAAAAAGAATGCCGATGGCCTCGAAGTACTCGTACCAATAGGACGGTTTAATATGGGAGTCATAGCAAGTAACAACTATACCCAATTTCAAACATGTGCCGGTATCAAACGGTTTCTGACGTTAAATTCCGTGACGCTAGCCAACATGTTGACGGACGGCGACGGCACGGACGGAACGGCGCGACGAAGGACGGACGTATGGACGCGGACGTCACGGACGAACGACGCACCTGCGCAATAGCTCGCTATGACGTATGTCAAGGTGAGCCTAAAATATATGCAGGCCAGTAGGTGTAGGCGGGCTTACAGGACAAGCCACCAACACTAATCATATAGGATACGGCTAACACTGTTATATGAGCGTAACCCAGTGCCTTTTATACATGGTGGCCGTTCTACAAAGCGTTCAGGCTAACGGCTCCATTAGGGTGTTCCCAACTTTGATATCATTAATGATTGCTGATTGATAAGCCTACCCTAACCCTAACCTGCAATGACAATAACCAAACTATAATATGACAAATAGATATATATTGTTTTTATGACCATTATGATATTAAGGATGGCGACACTCCTTATGCGAGTATCCTCACACCGGTATGATGCGCAGGTGGCTCGCGCGCTGGGAGCTGTGGCCGGTGTGCGTCTTGTGAGTTCTCTCACTGGGTGGAGTTTCTACACCTGTATTCACATCTCTCACACGGGAGAGAAACCGTTTGCGTGTAGGGCCGCCCCCCGTGTGAGTGCGCATGTGTCTTTTGAGCTCACTGGAGCTCCTACACGCAAACGGCTTCTCTCCCGTCGTGCAGAGATGTGTCAGATACAGCGTGTATGGAGCTCAAAGCACATGGCAGCATCACACGGTGGTGGGGGATACTCCATTAGGAGTGTTCCCAACTTTAATGTCATTAATGTTCATAATATGTATAAATGACCAAATAATATATATGATATTATGACCCATACTCATAAATAATAAATAATGTTAATGGTCATAATAACATATATATTATTTGGTCATATATTAGTTTGTGGTTTAATGTCATTCAAGGTTAGGCTTAGGTATAGGGTTAGGATATCATCAAGTAATTCATTAAGTGATTACGTCACACGATTTCTTAGCCACCATCAACGTAGTATATTTGTGCTTTATTTGCTACAAAGTTAAAATGTATAACATACATTAGTGTTCCTGATTTACTTTCATGCTTATATACCTTCTTTATAGCCCTAATTTGCCGGTGAAAACAGAAGAGACGCCAGTATCGTGAACTGACGGGGGGATAGCTGTTAGACAACCAGAAATACCAAATCGTTTAGTTTTTGTAATTTAACAAGGTAAAACACTTTTATCAGTGAGGTTTGAGGATATATTTTAGTAACTTAGTTCGTTACTTTTACTGTAAATAATACAATTTTTTTTACAATTTTACATGGAAAATTCGTTGACGTCAGTCCTTTCATGTATCAAAAGTTGGGACACTCTAAGTGGGCGTTAGCCAGTTCCACTAACCGGCTTAACTCCACACACCTGTCAGTGCATTATATGCTTTTAATTTAAAATCGATATACAGAGAAACCATACTGTTACGTTTCCACACACGCAGTTTATTTCGCATAGATCTTATAAGAACTGCTAGCTACTCTCTAAATCAATAATCAGTGATTGATAATCAATTATCCATAATGTATCATGAAGAGTAACAGGTATCGATGATGCACACAAACTTCGCTTGATGTAGATTGTTGACACACAAAATAGTGATCACGCTAGCATATACCATAACATGCTGATGCTAGCATTACATGCTGCATTGCTAGCATTAACATGCTAGTCACGTTAACATGCTGATACTGGCCTAATGCTGTGCTAGCATAGGCTGCGTGCTAGCATATATGTTGATTACAGCATAACATGCTTGATGCTCGCATAACTTGGACACTGGCATACATTCTGATGCTAGCAATGGCATGCAGATGCTGCACTAATTGTTCGATCAGCATTAACATGCTGATACTGGCATAACATGCTGATGCTAGCATAGCATGCAGATGCTAGCATAATATGTTGATACAAGCATAACATGCATATGCTAGCATAACATGCTGCTACAACTAGCATAGCATGCTTGTACTGGCATTACTGCTGCTACAAGCCTACTGGCTGACTACTGGATACATGGCTGTGCTACAATAGCATGCAGATGATAGCATATATGTTGATACAGCATAACTGCTGACATAGAGCGAGCATGCTGGTACTGTAACATGCTCATACGGCAACATGCTGCACTTAGCATGAGCATGCTCGTCTAGCACTACATGCGATACTGGATACATGCTGACGTGCTGTGCATAACATGCCATAAAGCATAAATGCTGATACTGGCATAACATGCTGATACTGGCATAACATGCTGATGCTAGCATAATATGTTGATACAAGCATAACATGCTGATACTGGCATAACATGCTGACACTAGCATACTGCTGATATGCTAACATGCTGACCTAGCAATCACAGGTGGTACTAGCATAAACATTGCTGTTAACTGCTAAACATGCATATGCTAGCATAACATGCTGCTACAATCATAACATTCTGATACTGGCATAACATGCTGATGCTAGCATACTATTTTGATCGTGGAATAAATGCTGACTAGCATAGCTTGCGGGTACTATGCATAACATGCCGATAAAGCATACTACTGATGCTGCATAACTGCATAAGAGACCATACTTCTAGTCTTGGCATGAAATGCTGACACTAACTGCATGCAGTGCTGGACATAACATCTGATACTGGCTAACATGCCGGATACAAGCATAACTGCCGATCAAGCTTAACTGCTGATACAAGCATACATGCTGATGCTAGCGATAAGCATGTGATGAGAACAGAGACAGATGAAATGTTGGCATCTTCACACAGCTTCTTACGCAGACTGGAACGTTGGAATATCCTTGTTGTAAAACATATCATATACATATAGATAGATAGATACAAATATATCTGAAACAAAAGTAGATATCACAGGAAAACAACCATTTTCCTGTGAACTATAGAGATCCGATGAATTTTTTCAATCAATAAGTAGATATATATATATATATATATATATATGAAGCTCTAACAGCGACTCGCGGTGCAAAATAAGACGCGAAAAAGAAATCAATGAAATCAAAGCCGATTCCCTGACTTGATCCTTATCATTCACAAATTTTAACTCTTTATCTAAAATATATAAATGCTATGGTGTATAATATTAAGTATATGTATGAGAATGATGTGTAAATCCCCCCTTTCTGGGAACATATATAATATATATATATCTATCACTATATTCAAACCGGGAATAGTCATTTAATAAACTGCCCTGCCCACCCTAACACACTGTCTAACGTACGTGACGTCTAGATATGTAAAGTGAATAATGTGTAAATGTTCACTTGTTTATCGTTTCGCAATGAAGGCAAACTCGGCACACGCGCGCGAGTGACAGGGCTAGCCTGCCGAAAAAGGGAGCCAGAATGAGAGCACAGACTCTTCCACCGAGAAGCGCAGAAAGATGCGATATGTGATATAATACTAGGCACTTAATTTAATTTAATTTTTTTTTTTTAGGGTTAGGGTTAGGGTTATTTTTTTTAAGTGCCTAGTAGTCATATCCTAATGCCTAGTAGTCATATCCTAAGTGTCTAGTAGTCATTCTATTCGCACCTATCTGCGGGTGCCATCTTACCGACTGTATCGTATCACGTGCTAATAAAGTTGTTCTCAGTTAGATCCAGATCAAGTTAAAAATAACTTACACAGACGACATTTTCGTCCATCTCTCCGATTTGGATCCAACTGAGATAAACTTTATTAGCATGTGAACTATCGTCTACTATTATTACGTGATTCTAAATTCATCACTACATTCGCAATTTAAATTGTAAATTCATTGCTTCTATTAAATCTTTACTACTAAATTATCTACGAAATCTGATCGCTTGATCTGAGATTCATCCTGTTCACTCTCTACACGCGTCACAGGGTTTGCAATTCGTATTTCCGTTCACTGACGTCTCCCGCGCGACTTCGCGCCTTTTGCTCTTTCTTGCCGACGTTGGCGCCCTCTAGTTGTGGACCTTGCGTCGGGCGAGGTGCCGGCGCCCCTCGTTGTGGACCTTGCGTCGGACGGGGCGCTGGGGGCTGCAGGCTTCACTGGTTTACACTCCATCATGGTGTTTGCTATGAGCGCTGTCCATCCCGTCTGGTGGCTGAAGTAAGCAACGAGAAAAACGGAGAACTTGAATTTTTTATTTTTTTTTATTTTATTTTTTAATTTTTTAATTGTTGATGTGGCTACCATGCTAACGTTACTTCCAGCAACGTAGATATTATATAGTTAGGTTACATCAAAATTAACAGATTTCATACTTATTACATCAACAATTACAGATAATATATACATTACATTAACAATTACACTACATTAATAAATACTTATGATATATTTACATTACATCAACAATTACAAATATCATATTAACATTACAATCATTCCATGTAATTTAAATTTCATGGAATAAGAGAGTACGTGACTCTGCATATATACTCTAGCTGCAGCTGCAGAAGAAGTCTTAACACCAGGGTTAGAAATTAACTTTTGAACACGGGAGTCCAACGGACTCCCTACCCTCAAAAAGAGGAAGTCCGCAGCAAAATGAGAGAGTCCGCAGTATGAAGTTCAAAATGAAAGATATTAACAATAACGCATGTGTTTATTTTTAAGATTCATGATCATGCGGTTGCACGTCTGCCAAATTTTCTTTGGACTTTTACTGAAAAAATACGGTAATTCCGCGAGGCCGTGCTCTGGAACGAACTAGTTAGAATGGCAGAATTTTCAGGGAGTCAGTCACACGCACTCCTGCATATGTCAAATCAGGGAGTCCGACAGTAAATCAGGGAGTATTTGACTCCGGACTCCCGTTAATTTCGCACCCTGTAACACATCAACAGCAATGTCGCTTACAGCACCTATATACCTGTAACGAGTGTCTTACCTCGCTCCCAGACCTTTCCCAGTGTCGCCATGAAAATACTCGTAGAACAGCACCAAGTCCTTCCAGAAGGGATCGTCCGTATACTTCTCAGCGCCACCTGTTGGCAGGATAGAGAGAATACGATACGCGACCATCGAAACCCTTTGACCAACAGTTCGAATTAGATGTTAAAGTATTCCATTTCGGTTTCCAAAGCATTATATTATCGACCGCTAGCATCATTGACCACACAGTGGCGCAACAACGTAAAACAGAATTCTACATGCGGGTACAAATCAGTGCACATAACCCTCAATGCGCGACTAAAACCCGTAAAACCACAAAACAAAAACAAAAAACCTTTACGAAAACAAAGCAACGACACGTCCTTGCACTCTATCCCTCCCCCTCCTCCCCCTCCTGCCCCACCCTCCCCACCACCACTCCGCGCGTCCTCGACTCGGGACAGCTCCCCGCGAGACGTCGGCTCGCGACGGCGGCGCCACCTACCGTGGCATGGCCGACGACCGGCCGTGTCCGGCATGAAGAGAGCGCTCATGCGGCGATTCAGCTCGTGCGCGACATCGGATAGTCGCATCTCGCGTCCGGATCCTGTCGGACACTCGACCGTGAGCTCGCCGCCGTAGAAGTAGTCGTAGCGATTGAGGCTCTCGATCACCAGGTAGTTCACTGTGGGAGGCAGATGGCAGACGATCAGACCATGTGCTGCCATCTAGCGAGCGCAACTCGAAACGACCAAACGGCGATAAAAGCGAATGCGAGAGATTTCGATTCTAGGCGCGTCGCTGGGAAATAAAATTCGTGTGCAGACGACGTCGATTAGGTGCTGCCACCTAGCGACGCATCTCTCGGCGAAAAATGAGAACGAAAGATCACGATTCGGGTCGGTAAAGTCGTAAGTGAGAAATCGCAAGCATCACTCTCGCGCTGAAGGCAAGAGTTCACTCACGTATCCACCATAGGTGTTCATATGATGCTACTAAAAATGATTCGAGAAAGCGAATACAGTGTATCCTATGGTAATACACATGACGACGATGATGATGATGATGATGATGATGATGATGATGATAATAATAATAATAATAATAATCATCATCATCATCATCATAATAATAATCATAACAACAATAATAATAATAACGATAACAATAACAATAATAAATGAATGATTCATAACATTAACATAACAGCGCGTAACCACGGCAACCACACAACTGGGGTCGACCGACCGTTCGCTTGTTACTTACTACAGATCCAGATCGGTCCGCGCCAGTTGCTGTTGCCGCCGAACAGGTCGGAGGTGGATTCACCGGGAATGTAGCCAACATGGTGGCTGCCCTCGCATTGCAGCTCAAACGGATGATCCTCGTGGTACTGCAAGTACACATAGTACATATTACAAGCAAGCACAAAGTACACACACGCACACAGTCTAGCACAAACGGATGATCCTCGTGGTACTGCAAGTACACACAGTACATATTACAAGCAAGCACAAAGTACATACACGCACACAGTCAAGCACAAACGGATGATCCTTGTGGTACTGCAAGTACACATAGTACATATTACAAGCAAGCACAAAGTACATACACGCACATAGTCAAGCACAAACGGACGATCCTCGTGGTACTGCAAGTACACATAGTACATATTACAAGCAAGCACAAAGTAAATACACGCACACAGTCAAGCACAAACGGACGATCCTTGTGGTACTGCAAAACACAAAGTACATACACACACACAGTCAAGCCCTACGTGGCACTCGTGGCAAAAATTTCAAGAATACAGTCAGGGTTACGGCCGTAAGGGCCGTAATAATTTCCACTATCACCTGTAAAGGGTATTGCAACATAACTGCTCACCAAATTCGATCAAACACATATCTATTTAATAAGAGAGCTGTCTCTCTACGCTCGCGGTGAAATAATCATTAATAAAATTCATCGCTAATTAGGTGACGGCAAAAATTGTTAATTTTTACCAAGTAGACGATATGGCGGGTTTTGGCCGATAGGGTGGGCCACACACAAGCTCTGGGGGAAAGGTTAGCGTGGAGTTTGTGTTCACCTTCCCGATGTGGAGGTCGTGAGAGGAGCTAGGGTATGGTTATAGTTTACCCCTCTCATGGAAGAATTTCGGAGGGAATAAGGGGTTTTCCTCAGAAATCTGGTGTAGGTATGGTTAGGGGGAGCCCTGCTCGGGTAAAGCTGTTACTCGATTGGGAGGCTTCTACAGCAGTAGATTGGTTCAGGTCTCTTTGCTGGGGCAAGGTTGTTAATGAGCGACGAGATAACGGTTGGTGGGTTTAAGCTTCCCCAGATGATGTAGTGAAGGTTGTTGCCGTAGATAACCTGAATGTCTACGAAAGTGCAAGTGCGCCAGTCACCCGGTTGGGGGATGGGGCTGATGGTGTTGACGCAGAGGTGGTTGATGGGTCTGGTAGTCTGGGTGACGTGGCGGGTCAATATGCATATAATTCGCGAGGCGCGGATTCCCAAGTGAAGAATGACACAGGGTCGGACAAGTATGATGGCTCAGGATTTTCTCTTTCTAGCCTCAAGACACAAGCGGTGAAGTTGCGGCAGGTGGTTGACCCTCAAATTGGTTCTGGGGAGGTCCACTGGTAGCTGGGCAATCGAGGGACCGGTTGGGTGGTTTTGAGTTCTTTAATCCGGTGCAACGTACACCGGGCGAGAGATTAGTGAAAACTCCGTGTCACTACGGGTATGCGTCCCCGTAGTTGTAGTTGTCAGACCGAGGAGTGACTGTTGGTTCGTGGGAGCAAGCCATATAATGGTAGCTAGTTTGCGTTTAGGTAACAGCAGTCTATTTGCTTGCCATGGTTGGTAACGATTCCATGCAGTCTGTAGTTCCCGGATAATGTTATCGTGCCATGTTAATTCTTGGTGCGGTATGGTAACCCTGGATGTCGTGTGTCATGACTGTCCTCGGTAGATTATTCTCTGGGTTATTGTCAGGCCGAGTTTTTCAGGGCTCGCCATAGCATTTCGGGAGACTATGCTGTCTGTTCCGCCCAGGTTCCGGCGTTTTGGTCTGCGGGTCAGGCCTTGTGATGCCGATGTATCCGGTGTGTTCCCCTCTTCCGGGGTGGTTTCTGATAATACTACCTCACCTTGCTTGAGCGCTTGGTAGCGATGTAAGCTGCGGCTGGACTGGTTCCCAGGTGCGTGGTGCCGCTATGGCCAGGCGCAACTCTGGGCATCCGGAGCTCCATGGGGAGCCAGGATGACAGTCTCTCGCCAGTAGCTTGTTTCGGGTGGACTTGTAGGGGCTCTCGGAGTTCCTGATCCGTGGCTAACGCAGATATGTGGGCCACGGGGCCGGCCATGTTGCGGGGTAGGGACGGGGTGCGGGTTCCATACTGCTACGGACCCGTGTTGGTCGGCCAAGCGACAACCCCCCTATGGTCCGTGGAATGTTGGACCGCACTGGTTCGGGCATCTGTTTGAGAGCAGCCAAGGTAGTTGCGTCTCGTGTGTTTTCTAGCCGGCTGGTACCGCGCTACTCACCCACGGGCATTCACATTTATTACCCTTGATCGGAACGAATTTGGGGTTTGTTCCCCGTTAGTGTCGGAGTTTGAGACGGATTCCGGAGTTTTCTTTGGAAACTCCGGAATTCGCATCACGTGATGGTCGAGGGTGTGGTTTGTAAACTCCGACGTATTTCAGACTGGTAGGGGAAGGCCTGTTTGATTACCGAAATGTACGTGTGAGTTGCTCATTTCAGGAGAACGAAGGAGATGCAGCCTGAGAGAGGAGCTGCGCCGGAGGTATAGAAGCAGGTTCGGGAGGAGGATCTGCTCGGCGAGAAGAAACCAGAGGTGATGGAGCTCGGCGATGGGTGCACGGGGATGCCCTTTGTGGATGAGCTGCTATTGTTCCCCCTAACAGCGATGGCGACCCCAGTGGCAGGGGCCGAGTTGGCGTCCCAAAAGAAGCGCGCCGAAGTTGTCGAGACCGCTCGTCCATGGAGTGTGATCCCCGCCAGAGCTTCGTCCTTGGCGGAAGCGACGAGCGACTCCCCGACAGCTGAGAAGACGGGGGGCGGCGAGGGACAATGTAGTGGTGGCCTGCGAGGGACCCGTCGTTGACAACGGTGGAGTGTCCATCGTAGAGGAGCAGTGCCTTGCACCAGGGGTTCGGGACGGCCGGCGGGCGCTATCCCACCCTGGTCAGGTAGATGGGGGCGGGACAGAAAGGCACAGAGGGGCTCGGTGGCAAGGCAGGCTGACCGCCCGGGCACGAGTGCAGTAGGGCTCACAACCCCTCCCCGTGCCCCGGTGAGAAGCGCCGCCGCACGTGCAGCGATGCCGAGGGAGGCAGCGTCGGCGATCGGCGAGGAAGGCGCAGAGGATGGACAGGCCAGCACCGAGATAGATCCAGCTGGTCTCTTTTACGTCAGGTGCCGGTGCACCGCTAGGTATGTTTTTGGGATCGTCCTGACGGTCGATCTTGAAGGGGGGAGGAGTGTAGCGGTGGCACCGGACCTTCGGGTTTCCAGTACGGTGGGGGTGGTAGCTTCCTGGAAATCGGAGTATGGGTTAATGTTCCGTGTTTGTGACTGTATGATTATTTGTGATGTCTGCTGTCTATTAGTGTGCGTTTTCGTGGTGTTTTGCCAGTTCATCAATTGACGATGTAGATAGGCGAGTCCCTACATGGGCGCCGCCATGTTGTGTGCGGTAATCCATCCTCTAGCGACCGTGAGTGGCGCGGGTCGTATGAACAGCTAGTGGTAAAGAGGGGCGTGTGAAGATACGCAGTTAGTTCGACTCTGGTATCGATTGAGGGAGAACTTGTAGTGCAGTTTGTCCCGGGAATCGGTTGAGGAAGGACTCGTCAGGTAGTATGTCGTCTCGTCTACTCCGTGAGTGTGCACGGAGTGGAAAGGCTTGTTGAGCTGTGTGTTGTATGGTGACAGTTAGCGTACGAGTACCCATGGTAGAGGTACTGTACGGTCACGGGTGTTTGACGTGGCTTGCCTCATGGGTGAGAGAGACAGGCACGTCGGTTAATTGGTGAGTAGGCACTGTCGTATTGTCCTGTTGTTGTGGGGCGAGTAAATATTACAGTACTAGTAGAATATTAAAAGGGTTGGTTTAATATTCCTGGACTAGAGTATTGAGAAGTATTAACTCTGCACGAATTAATAGCACGAAGCTAGCCTATTCGTGCACGGCCGCACGGGGGCGGGGCTGCCGGTTATCTTAGCCCTTTGCCCGGCTACATTCATTCTACTTGTTTAACCCCTGTGCATACCCCGGGTATACTCTTTTTATTCAACGTAACGTAAGGTCAGCAGGCAGGGTGGTGTCACCCCGTTGTTGTGTTTGTGCGTGTCGTTACTCGTTTTGCATTGTAGACTAACTATACGACGCACCGGAACCGGAACACGGCAGAACGGGTTATTGCGGGAGCGCAGTAGCACTGAGGTACTCGAGTGGCTAGCAGAGTCCGGATGACGACGATACGGCCATTTCAACGCCTCCGGGCACGACAGGTAAGTGAGAAACCTAAGGTTGTTGCTAGTCACTATGTTTCGACCGGTGGCGCCATCGGCTGTCGCCGGAAGATCTCAAAATGCTACACTCCATATACATGCAGCGAACTGCAGCGTACCAGTCTGTAGGTGCCAAATTAACCATCTGCATTTCCAGCGAGTGACGTCATATTGCCGTGAACTTAAATTGAGACTGTGACAACATTCATGATGGCGGGCTTGTGTCTCGCATGGCGTTTCTGTTGCAAACTTGATCAAACTGTACCGAATTTACTAGGAGATACTCACAGTTTAGTAAGTTACAAAGCAGAATAGTGACTATATAGAGATCACGTGTATATGGTATATGATGCATTTCGGACGTCATCGTTTGTAAGGTGTGATGTTGATCGTTAAACTGCATGATCTGATTTGGGAGAAATGGCGTGCTCGTCTGTGTGCTAAAATCGGCAACGTGACTTCATGATTCACAAAATGTAACTGTACATTATCTGTGAATTATTATATTAAAAAGGTATCTAACAAAATTACGTCATAGATCCGGACTTCGAAGGGAGCAGTAGTTAGCATGTCGTGTATTTAGTGTGGGAATTGCGTTAACAACATAAGTGTGAGAGGGCTCGAACAGCAAATCCATGTGTTGAGAAAATGAACGCATAACCCCCTCTCTGTCGTGTGCAGACTGTTGTGTAAACTGGTGTGTTTGTCAACACAAGTAATTAAAATACTTTCCAATGTCATTCCCGTGATCTGTGTACCCCAGTACAATATTGGGAGATAGTGTTGATCAGTGCGTGCGTGTGTACGTGCGTGTGTTAGTGAATACATAATTATGTGATGTTTGTATACCAAATGGGTGCGTTCCATTGTGGGTATATACTATATAGGAGTGTCTACATGCAAGCAGGTGTACGTTTCTCATTCTAGCGTATCTGATGTGTGCTATATATCGCGTTGGAGTTATTTCCCTTAGTATGTTTGTTTTAACGTTGTTTACAGTAGTACTGATTTATGTAAGTGTGAGTTCATACTAGTTTAGCTTTATTCTTAGCATAAGCAATGACTCATACGTGTAACTCTGTTCGATTTCAATCAGTGCTAGGATATTTTATTAGCAAGTACTATGTTGAAAGTACAGTATTACTGTGTGTATTACTAGTCGTTATGTGGAAAGGAACTGCATATCCTTATATTCCGTTTATTTGTGTTTCAGTAAATCGTATCAAAACACCTTCACCGGGATACGCATTGACAATTGTGTTTATTCGAGTCTTCGAGTTTACCAGCCAGTACACAGTCTATGTTTAAGTCGTGCTACATGTCGTGCTGCGCAATGCGTAGTGGGAAGACAATATGTCACCGAATTTACCGCTGTTAATTCGATATACATTTCAACACACGTAGCCTTAATTACTCCAAAATTTATTGACTCTACTGGACATATATATGGACTCTACTAGACCGGTTTAGTAATATATTATATAAGTCCATAGAAAGAAATGTAAACATGTATAAATCTACTTCTATGAAAAAGTCAAAGACTGAGTCTGAGCTAACCCGACCAGACTGTGTGAATAACGTCAATATACACAGTCGGTATTCTAACCCTAGCAATACCGTTTCTTGGAGCTAAGTCTGAGCCGAGGTAATGTAATGACTAATGAGTAATGTCAGTAATAGCGCTAGCCAAGGGTATGCCGTATTTCATATTATTGTAATTGACAAAGTACTATAGTATAGGCCTATGTTACGTATGTATTCGGCTAAGTACATTTTCGCATATAATAAGTCGCATATTATTGAATATATTTCCTACTAGTACTAGTAGAGTCCACTAAGCATGTGCACTCGTTAACGAAGCCTGCCAAAGGCGGTGTGACAGACGGGGCGGTGCCCATGCATGGTTGATTCGTCAGTGATAACACTGATATACACATCGGCTCCCCACTCCTCACTGCGCTGTACTGTTCCCGGTTACGCCCCGTCTGTGACACGGCCTTTGGCAGGCTTCGATAACCAGTGGAAATGCTTAGTGGACTCTACTAGTACGGTTCATGAAGGCGCAGCGGACTGGGTAATAATTTTTAATTATAGGCCTTCATAATTATCAACCCCTGATAGGATAAAACGATAGGAAGAGGGAGCTACTGGTTTTCGTTTTACTTTTGTTCTCCCCACGCAGGCGGGCAGCACGGGGGCGTGATTTTTTTCCCTAGGTTAATCAAGATCATAGGGGCGCTGCCATTGGTTGAGCTTGTTTCGTCGCTCAATGACGTCACAGTGTCGTCATATTCATAGCACATCCATAATCCATAATTCCATTAACCCTGAATAGCCGAAAGAGTACAGCACGACGTCACAGCTGAAAGGTCGATGGATCGAATCCCATCCGTTTTTTAATTATTTTCCTGTTTTCTGTATTTTTTTATCTTTGTCCATTTAACAATTTTTTTCCAATTAACGCAAATATTTACATGATTTATTTACAACAATTTAATAACAACAATTTTTAATTTATTAATTTATTTAATTATTATTTATTTTAATTTATTATTTTTTAATTTAATTAAATTATTTTATTTTTAATGTCCTTTTTTCTTTATTTTTTTATTTTTTCTTTTTTTTACCTCAACTTTATTTTATTTATATGGGCATGGGCATGGATGACATCGATGGGATGGGATGACATGCGATGGCATGGGATGGGATAGGCGCATGCGCATGGCATGACGCGGAATGAAATGGCATGGATGGCATGGGATGGGATGCATGGATTGCGGATGTCATGGGATAGCATGGGATGGCATGCGGATGCGATGAGATGGG